TCATGAGGAAGTTGTGGTTCAATGTGATCCCCGGCAGAGACACAGAGGCAGATCTTATCTTCCATTTCCCTCAGGTGCATTTGAATGGTGTAGCTCAGTCACCATCACATTTTCCAGGCTGATTTGTTTTTCCACATGATATGAAAGCCAAATCTGTCTGTGAACACAATGCTCCCTGATGAGATACAGCAGTATCCACTCGGGGCAATGTGGCGACAGAGATCTATAAACAAAACATTTTTTCCCCTGATGAACTTGAATAATGAATATGTAGAAAACCTGGTTTAAAGGTCACTAATCACTCAACAATTCATTTTTATCTTGTAGGAGCTACCCAAATACCTGAGAGGCTATCATGTCTGCAACAAAGATGAAATGATCAACATTGGGGCTTTGCTCTTCAGGATAAAGGTCAACAATGACAAGAGCCAGATTGTCATGATTCCCAAGGTGCTGAAGGAGCTTGTTCCTGCTGACCAACTGAAGGCCATGTCTGAAAATGAGTGGAAGAAGGTATGATGAGCTTTCTTTCCATTGATTTCTTCTCCTTAATTTATTATACTCCTGAAAGGGGCCATGTGTGATAAAACACATTAATATTAAGTGGGAGAATGTATGTTTTACTACTTTGTTCCTGAAAAAGTGATGGTCATTGTAGCAACCAGTCTTCTCTTAGTTCAACATGAGAGGATGAAGAAGTAACTGCTGATAGGTTATAGATGAGAGCAGCCCATCCGGGTTCTTTGCCCTTGCATCATGTCTACATTTTTGGGTAAACATTTACTCTGATTTCACTTTGACAAATATCAAGTTCTTTGCTAGTTAACAGCATAAAATAAGAAAATCATTTTTATTTTTAGATATTAGGAGCAAAAGTCCAATAAGTCAACATTCCTGCACTCTTTCCTCAAGCTCAGGTATCAGTGCTGATGCTCCAGCCTCTCTTCTTTGCGTTCCTCTCCTTGAAGTGGCTCGTCCTCAGCTGCCAAAAGTGGAATATTTATTCAAGCTCACTTTAACTCAAAGTCAGGTTGAGGACTGAAACATATGCAACAAGTCCTTATGTGTGTAAAGACAATTTATCAGTTGGCAAGTTTTGAAGCAGCGAGGGATCATGGGAGTTTTTTGTCTTTATCACCATTTCCTGTTTCGTAATTGTCTTGGGTCGCTTGGTTCCCCAGTGCATTTGCACCTTACTGGGTGGCAGAGCGCACAGCAAACGGCAATGAATAATTGTGAAATCATTATGAATATCCAATACAAATGATGGAAGGAAACAGTGTTGTTTTTCCTTTCTCATGCATTTAAAAGGCGATAAAGTAAGGGATTTCTGTGTGTTATGATAATTGTTGGAAATATTTTGGTTAATGTAAGTACACAAGTCACCAAAATATATAACATAGGTCTGATCGTTTTTAGCCGTTTTAGCCGATTTGTTCAGACTGTGAATCTTGAGCAGGAATAAAGTTGCCACTTTGCTTAATCAAAGGTCAAACGTCATCAGAATCTCTGTTCCTCATTCTTTAGAAAAGTCAGAGCAAGTGAGCTTTTTTCAACACAACTATTTACAATGCAATCCCTAGCTACACACATTCCGATGAAGTTTTTATATTTTTTTATGTAATTCGTGGCATTGCATGGAAAGCAATACGAGACTATTTCCAGAGTTATCCTTTAAATTGCCCGTATGAACATAATCACCATTGTGCCATTCCTATGATTTATATCTCAGCTCACTGAGAAAATGGGCTGAGGGCTGAGGGTGGTGTTAGAAAACCATTAAACTGATCACAAGCAGAGCAAAAGAGCTTTAGGTCATTCTGTGATATTTTCATTTTTTCATTTTCAGAGTATTGTTGCTCATTATAACAAACACGCTGGTATGAGTGTTGAAGAAGCCAGGGGGGCATTTCTCAAAGCAGTTTGCCGCTGGCCGACGTTTGGCTGTGCATTTTTTGAAGTCAAGGTAAGAGCTGCAGTGAATGCAGCACATATGGTGCTTTATCTTGCAATCTGCAGTCCATTTGGTTTATTTGTCTGAGACCTTAAGCCTCTGTCATCATGGCATGCTAACTGAATTTACACAGCAAATAGTTTAAGTTACAGAGAAAAAACATTTTCTTATTTGCTTATCTAATTTTCTTTTCAGCAAACATCAGAACCAAACTTCCCGGATATTGTGCGAATTGCCATCGGCAAGCAGGGACTTACAATCATCCACCCAAAAACCAAGGTTAAAAGAATGAACCAAAGATATTCTTAGTATTCCACTTAACTTGTCATTTCTCACCATTAACTATTGTTCTATTTTGTGAAGGATGTTTTGGCAAATCACCCATTCAACCGCATAGCTAACTGGTGCAGTGGAAGCACCTACTTCCACATGACTATTGGCAGTTTGATCAAGGGAAGCAAATTCCTGTGTGAAACATCTCTGGTAAGATCTATCATGTGGACAAGTGGTAAACTTGACCGAAGTTAGAGTTAAGTTAAATGAAGTACATCTGTGTCTTCTTTCCAAAGGGTTACAAGATGGATGATCTCATAACCTCCTACGTCAACATGTACCTCAGAGAGAGGAGGGCAGGGCAAACCAGGAACCAGCGCTTCAATATTTGAGTCAGCTGCATTAGTGTGATGCAACTCTGTAACTGAAGCTGTGAAGCACCACACTCCACATGTAGAACACACACATAATGAGGCAGAGCAGGAATAGTTTTTTGCAATCAGTGCAATCAGCTTTGTGTTTATGCTCTGTGAGAAAAGAAGACATTGATTTATTATATGAAACAAAGTGGTTGTAGATTTCTCACTTTTTATTTAAAGATAAAGTCTCTTTATAATATTCTCTATACAAGCAACATAATCTGAAGTTAAGACATTTTATTGAAGGCAATACTGTCTACACATTTTCTAATTAGCTTCTACAACATGGAGATAACGTAGTTTCATGCTGTTTTCAGACCAAACAATATTTGCAATATCTTTAGTAAGTACAAACTGAATTAAATAAATGTAGGTTTTCTACATGTATATTAGTCCATGAATCTAATAAAATCTAATAATCTAATAATCTAATAAAATGTTCTTTTGAAACACCTATAGATGCTTGGAGACTCTTTTACATTCTCTGATTTACTGACAGACTGCATGTTGCATTTAGACTCTGGTAGAAGAGCCCAATGTCTTTTCTCATTTCTTTGAGAAAATACTTTTTTTCATCCAAATCTGGTCACCACAAGATTCACAAATTTGTTTAGGGTGTTTAAAGGCAGCAATAAGGTTCTTTGTTCCCCTGTTCATCCAGGGATCTTTCTGTGTGGGTTTCCTCCTGGTACTTCCTCTTCACCCCACAGAGCAAAGATACGCATCTTAGGTTAATTGACAACTCTAAATTACCCGTAGGTGTGAGTCTGAGTGTGAATGGTTGTTTGTGTCTGTGTATGATTCACTGGTGACCGGGTCGTACCCCGCCTCTTACCCATTGTCAGCTGGGATTGGCTCCAGCTCCCCTGCGACCATTAAAGCATTTCAGTCAGACAACTCGCGTTCCAATGTTTATTGCAACAGTAGAACATTTAGTGTTTGGTGTCTAATCTCGAACTTAATCACTCCCCCAGACATGATTACATAAATATGATAGGAGAGCCTATAGGTGGATGCTGGGGTGGTGGAGGGGCTGAAGCAACTGGCAGCAATACTGACACAGCATCAGGGGCAAGCAAAGGAAGTGATGGGAAATGTTTTCATCATTAAATAGATCGCCTAATAGGGTGGGTGTGTTTTATAGATGATTGTGGAGTCACAGTCATGGAGCCACAGTCATAGCTGTTTCAAATAGGGACCCACTGGTCAAAATATTGCTCCATAGTACAATGTACTAATGTTACCAACTCCTTTGTGTAACTTTAAATAAGTAATCTGTAAATATCTAAATATGCATTCCTATGAAAATATATTCAAGGTGATAATAATGTTGAGAAACAAATTTCTCTGTAAAAAAATATCAAATAAGGGTTTCCCACTCAAAGTCTGTCGGGGGAGTTAAACTGCCTAAAATGTTGTGAGCTGCTTTTTTTCTGTCAGTGTTTCTGTAGCGACTAGAAGCACTTTCTGTTTTGTCTGAACCTTCACAGCAGTAAGAAGAATGATACATTTATGATAGTACACACTTACACAAGGCAATGTTTGGCTTCAGGGTAACAAGACACACAACAGACAAAGCTGAGAAGACGAACAAAAGCGGGGGCTGTCCCAATTAGCAGTTGGCAGTAGATTAACAGGGTATTGATGTCAAAGCTTCAACACAGCCCTGCACAGATAGTGGCTTCATTCAAGTCTACAGAATACCATTTGCATATCGATGATACAAAGAATAGAAAGCTCCCATGTATCTGACACACAGCTGTGGAGTCCTCGTATGAAAGAAATATTATCCCCCCTTAGCCAGTGGGTCTTCTCTCCACATCTGTCTGATGTCTGTGTGAGTGATTATTTTGGGCATTCCAATTCAGGATGCCCCCAGGAGGCAAGAGAGCAACAAGGGCCTCTGTTTCCTCCAAGCGTCCACCCCCTCCTCCCTTCTCCTGTTTTTCACTTGCTCTCCCATAGGGCATGGGGCCCTCTTTAGAACTTAACTGACCATCTACAAAAGATAATCTCTGAGACTTTAGTCATAAAATTCTCAATTGACAACACAGTCCATCTACTATCTATCAGTGGCATGGTGGGGGTTCATGGTAAAGGCACTCGGTGCCCCACTCTCCCCTGTTTCCATGGAGTCATACCCGAAGTCTCATTGCGTCTGAGGCATGCCATTCTTCTCCCCGCTGCTAAAATGTGCCACTTATTCTGACACAGGCTATTGTGGAGCGCACAAGTGCCTCTCTGAGGAGAGGGGTATGGAGAAAGAAAGGGTGGGGTCAAGGTTCAAATGAAAGACTCCCATCAGGACTCCTTCTCTGTTATCAAATTTGTTGAGACACAAAAAGAGCTACAGTCTCATTCCCAAGAGCATCTTGAGGGAGAGAAAAGGAGGTTATAGGACAGCATTCTTTGTGGCAGGGCTTCAGTTCTTCCACAGCTCAGCAGACAAACTCCCAGGCTGCACTTACAGCTGCTTGCACAACTATTTGCTCCTGCGCTGATTGTTGTCCACTCTGATTTGCTCCTGAAGCGTCCAATTTTTTCTCCCGTCTGAGGAAGTCTGGAGCTCCGCACCTTGGGTAAGTCTCTTATTTGCCTAATGTTTAGATAAAGCAACAGAGATTTATTACATTTTTGATAACTTTGCAAAAAGTCTAGTGCCACAACTTCTACTTCACTAAAAAAGTAATTTTGAATAGCAACAGGATCTTTGATAGCAGAGCTGCAATACAATAGCAGTACGTTTTTATTATGCAAATGTTTCACTTTTGTCATGTAAATCCCAAAACTCAGCTCAGAATTTTGCTGAAACGACCTGCGATGAAAATCTGTCATGTGCTTTTTAAGAACAGAAAGATGACTATCAGGTGGATTTGCATTTAATCCAATCTCAAAATTTCACACTTGCTGTATGCTGTGCATTTACTGTGACAGGTTAGAACAATAGAAAATTGAACACATTACTGCTGCTGCAGTTTTGACACCACTAATCTCTGAAAAGGACCGGTGCCAGGATGCTCAGCCGCTTCTTTTTGCCAAAATGTTTCACATAAGAATTCCTGCACAGATCTGCTTACCCAGATCATTGTGATGAAGGCACATGTCAGGATTGTCTCTCTTTAGGATTATCGCCCTGGGATCTGTATTTATGGAAGCTTTTCCATTCTTTTGCACTGCTCCTCGTTTCTTATCCCCAGTGGGACTGCAGCCCCTTTTCTATGGGAGGACTTGAATAGATGCTGGGTGCGCTGAGTCTGAGCCTGAGCTGGGAAATGCCCTTCGTTGTGGGTCTCACAGGATTCACAGCACACACTCTGAAAAGAGCCATGTTGCTACATCTGACTGGTTCCTAATGGGTCAAAAGTCTGGACACTGAGCTGGTGAAACAGAGATTTAGACGAAACAGATATAAAGAGACAAACACTTTCTCTCTCTGTTAAGGAGTCCTGCAATGACCCAGCATCATTTCATCACATTTCACTGTTTGTTTATTTATCTAGAGAGTACATTTGGGACCCTCCCTTCAGCTATGCATGGGACAACAAGCTCATCCCTATTACAGATGTTTGAATATTTATCTTGGGTCTACTACAAATACTGAAGTTAATGTGGAGCAAAACCTTTCCTACATATTCAGTCATTTAAAGCTTTGACATTATTGACATCCCACTGATGCATGTCAATGATCGGGTCAAGCAGAAAAGGAGGAGTGTAAAAAACATAAGAAGAGTGGACAGTTAGGCCTTGGACGCTCAGAGGACGGATAGTCATTCCTCGGTCAGTCTTAAGGTGTGTCCAAATAGTTGGCAACAGTGTTGCAAATGTTTATTTGGGCATGTCCACTTCATGTACTAATAACTCTTAAAAGTAGAATACTGGCAGTTTGAAGAATACTCCACTATCTACCCCACTAGTACATACTGTACATACCCATTTCTGTTTCTATGCTGCAGTTATAGCACAAGTTAAACAGACAAGATACAATATACTGTTATGTGGATTTTTGGTTTCCTGGCTAAGCTAACTAGCTACTGGTTCTAACTTCACATTCAACAGACGGACAGAAGAGTAAAATTAATTTTCAGGTCTATTTATTGCCAAGAAAGTGGTGAACGCATTTCCCATATTGTCAAACCTGTTCCTTTATTCAGACTTGGCTTCTCGAGGAACATATAACATCGTTTCACAATCTCGTAATTTCAGATAATTACAATATTAAGGCCACACTGTTGAACTCTTTTCCATTTTTTACAGGCCCCTCAGACGTAAGCAGATAACCTTGATTAAATAATTCTTAAAGACAAGTCAAACTTAAAAGAAGAGTGTAGATAAAATGACTTTGACTACCTGGACTTGTGTATGTAGAGGAAGTAAAAAAAACTTGTAGTGGTCTGAATAAGGTAGTTATCTGCTTATAGAGCATGTCCACATTAGTCAGGAAAACTGTCATCTATTGTTACCTTGGGAGACTGGCACTGTGACAAACACTCCAAGCCTGAGAGGGAAAGAGAGAGTGTGTGTGTGTGTGTGTGTGTGTGNTGTGTGTGTGTGTGTGTGTGTGTGTGTGTGTGTGTGCGTGCGTGTGCGTGCGTGCGTGTGGGGTGACAGAGGTTGGCATGCTATCGTTTCCTGTCACTGGGGTAGTTTGCTGACAGAATACTAAAAATGAAGTATTCTTCAGATCAAAAACACCTGTTTAGAAAAGTTCTGCCTGAAAACTGCTTGTAGAATCAATTTTTAACAAGTTTTATGTCTCCCCAGTCACCACAATGGAATCAGCTACGATGGAGCTGTCCCTGCTGTCCAATCAATCATTATCAGAGTCCTGTGCTGCAGTGGAGACGACAGCAGAGAACACTTTGTTTGGATGCTTCTACATCCTGGTTTTCTTCCTGGCGTTGAATGGTAACAGCTTGGCCTTGTGGATCTTCTGTCATCAGCGTGGCGCTCCCTCTCCAGCTAATGTCTTCTTGATGCACCTGGCTGTGGCAGACTTGTCGTACGTGATCATCCTCCCGCTGAGGGCCACCTACCACCTCACTGGGGGCCACTGGCCCTTTGGTGAGGTGCCCTGCAGAGTGGTTGGCTTTTTGTTTTATGTCAACATGTATGCTAGCCTGTACTTTCTGGCTTGTGTGGCTGCCGACCGCTACCTGGCTGTGGTCCATGCTGTGAGGTCGCTGAAGGTTCGTCGTGCTCGCTACGCTCACATCATCAGCTTCTCTCTCTGGGCCCTGGTCACTGTCTCCATGGCGCCATTGCTTGTCACCCACCAGACTGCAGAGGTGGATGGTGTGACGGTGTGTCTGCAGCTTTACAGAGAGAATGCTTCTCGTAATGCTCTCATCTCATTGGCTGTGGCCTTCACCCCACCTTTCTTAGTCATCCTGTCCTGCTACCTGCTCATCATTCACAGCCTGCATCAGGGCTCCAGGTTAGAGCCAGCCATCAAGCTGAGGGCCCTGCGGACCATCAGTCTGGTAATCCTCATCTATGTGGTCTGTTTCCTGCCTTACCATGTGAGCAGGGCCACCTTCATCCTGGGATACAGCCACCCTGACACTTCCTGTCAGACACGCAGAGGCCTGAGCTTGGCCAACCGCCTCACCTCGTGCCTCACGTGTCTGAACGGTGCTATGGACCCACTGGTGTACGTGTTTGGGGCCAAGAAGTTCCGTGGAACTCTAACACAAATGTTTTGCAAAGATAGGTCAGGAGTGTCAGGAACCACCAGTGGAGATTTAAAAGGAACACATGAGAGCTCTGTGAGTGCCAAGTCAGAGTTCTGAGGGATTTGATCCGGAGCAGTGTGTGGACTCAATGCTTTTCCAACACAACCAAAATTGGTCTTATTGTGGACAGACTGTTGCCTTTGCCCAAATGAAGACTGTGGCTTATTCTGTAATGCAGTTGATGTAACACAGTTTCCTCTATAGCCTAAATTTAAAGCCCTGTTCCAGTGTCCATCCTGCGCCCATTTTACTGAACCATTACAAATCTGAAATCATCTGTGAGAATGCAGGAGGGAGTAAAGTCATCAGGACTGAGACAGAGATTTTTGAAATCTATCTATACATAACCTGACATAGGCATTGGCCAGGAAAGTGTGTTTATCATATTTTATATTTGGGTATCAAAACCCTCAATCCATGGAGAACTGAACACAGTCAATAATCAGAAACCGCCTTAAAACATATTATCCTCCCACAGCCATGTTCCCAGCACAGCCCACGTTCTGTCACTGAGTTAACAAGTTGCAAGTTCACCTTCTCAAGAATAGAAGTGTTCTAGACCAGTGACTTAACTTTGTTTTCCTCTAGCAACAAAGCATTTTAATCAGGATATGGTTTGCTGTTTTCCACTTGGCTGACTGACTGGTTCTCCTTAGAGATTCTGAAAAGTGTGAGGGAGAAGATAAAAAAACTTTACTGGGATGGTACTAAAAACCACAAATATATCTTCCAATGGAGATCACAACTCCAAAGCAAACACCAGAAAAATGTCATGTATGGACTTTGAAATTAACTGCTTCATCATCAATCACCATAAATCAATATATTTCAAAGGAAGCACTGCACCATGAGACAAATAAGTACAAACAAGTTATACTGTGTGAATACTGTTTGTCTATTCTTATTGGTTCCAGCTCATTCTGTGTTTTGTTTAAGTGCCTCCAAAATCCATTTTATTTCTGTTTAAGTGTTAAAAAGTAAGTTATAGGATGTGATAGCCCTGAACCTGCATGCATCACAGTCTGTGATTATGAACCTGGATGCTGGAAATCGGCCTTAACATTATTCTTCTGATTCTGCTTTTGCTACCCGCCGCTGTCATCCATCAACAGTGAAGTTAGTCCAAAAAAGAGTCGAATTTTAACCCAGAAATACAAAATTTGTACATAGTCAACTTTTACTTCATTTTTCATGTTTTATCCTCTGCCTATACACATTTAATGTTTAATGATGTTTATCTTCAGTGTCAGTCCACTTTTTAGTCCACCAACAACTTTTATATAGATTGCCATGAAATTACATCCATGATATACAAGGATTACCATCAGTGCTTTAATTTGGGACCAAATACTTGCAAAAACTTTTAGTTTAGTACTAATTAGCAATTGTGAGCATGGTAATGTGTCAAACTAAGACAGTGTACATTGTAAACATTATACGTGATAAACATAAGAATGTCAGCTTCAGTGTTTCCAATTAGTTACCTGGACTGTGGTGACCCGCTGTATTCTTTTGAATCCTGCCACAGTTTCATAATGAACCAAAAAAATATTTAAATTGTCATAATAACACAAGAGATTTCTTACTTGGTGTTTTGATCTGTTGCTGTATTGTATAGCTGCACTATTTGCCATGTGCTCATGCTATTGGCCATACTGTATTTACCATACATACAGTTAGGCTTTCAGCTGAAGTTGTGGCATGTAATTAGGTTCTCAATTAAGAACTTGTATTTAATTCTTTAGTCTGTGCACCTGTCACATGGAATCTTTTGTATGTGAGAGTGACCTTTGTGCACATGCATGTGAACCCCTGTTTCCACCATGGATTGGGTGAATTCTGTGTGAAAGCCTTGTCATTGTTTGTAAGCATGCTCATGTTAGCATTTAGCTCAAATGCAGCCGTGCCCTCTTACAGCCTCAGAGCTGTTAGCTTGGCTGTAGACTCCACGGACTGATTGTCATTGTCCTGCCCATTATGTTTAAACAGCAAATGTACTTGCATCCATCTGAGCACCCTTGGGTATTAATATTGGTATAAAAAGAACAAAAGTGTGGTCAGGTGTATTACAATCTTGAGGCCACTGGACACAACAAAAACATGAAGTCAGTGTTATTTAAAGGGTGCATCATCAGGATGGTAATGTATGACTAATGCAGATATACTCTTCTTTTTACACACTTTCACTTTGTTTTCAAGTTTCTGTTTCCTCTGAAGCTCTAGCTCTTACTAGCAAAGGTGCTGTTAAAGTAGAAATCCACAAAGATGTAAGTGCACCAAGCTTCTAAAGGCAATGGGAGATGGCACTCTCATTATTGCATGTTATGCCTCCAACAAACCCATGCTTATTTAAAAGAGTGAAAAGCTTTTACAAACCATGGTTTTAGGTGCAGCAGCCTTTATTCTACTGTTAAACTAGCAAAAGTGGATTTGGAATGAATACATTTATGCCATGAGCAACCAACGTTTTGCGCTTATTACAATAGAACCCTTAGTATTGTTTTAATATAAGAAGTATTTTAAAATCCAATCACAAATTTATGTGTATATATTTTCCATTGTTGTTTAAATTGCTGGAAGACACCAGTAACATGTTAACTTTGTTGTGCTTGACAAATCTGGATCATAAATATATTCTCCATTATCCTGCTTCCTAACTCCTATATGCATTTATTGTCTTGCCCTTGTTATACTGTGATATTGTAATGTCGCATGACAAACTAATAATCCCTTTTTTACTGTGAATCTGTTTATTCATCATCTGCAAATAAATGTTTGCGACAGAAATGTAATTCATGCAGACAGGAAAGATGTGACAAATTTTCTTTACATCAAGTTATAAATAATAATTACTTTTTCAAAATCGTGCCGAAGAAGAAAAACTACCACACAACCCTAACTGTATGAATGATCCACAAGTTAACTTATCGGAACTGACTCTCATTTCATTCTCTTCCTTTTTTTTAAATCAATTATGTGTTTTTCAATGCTGTAATATGCTGCAATGTTTTTGTAATGTGCTTTTACATAAAAAAATTATGTGAACTCCACATGTCAGCTGTCATGTCCTGAAAGCAAAAGTATGATTTCACGTCCTGTTTGCTAAAGATCTTGTGTCTGTTCTTTTGTCCACTGTGACTACATGTCTGAGACTTGCTCTCTGTGAAAGTGGTGAGACTATTTCAAGAAAGTGTGGGGACAGAAACCTCTGAAGCTGCAGCGCCTTGTCAACGTGTAGTTCTCTTTTTGTGTCATGTGACCCATGTTGTGGTTTATGAGCTGCTTATTTTCCTCCTCATATTTCTGCAAGACTTCCTGTCCATTTCATGAACATGGCAAACTACTCTAAACTTGCATTTCCTGAATGTGTGAATATTGCAGAAAAGCCCAGAGCTTTTCTGAATCATATTAGATGAAGAGTTTGCAGCCGGACTCAGGTCAGGTCTTCTGGCTGAATAGGACTGCTTGTTTTAGGTTAGGTGGAAGGACAGAGGTAATTTGAGCTGTGAACATGATTCTGAAAACCCTAATGAGGAATGTGTTTGTGAATGTATTTTTGTAGATAATTTTCTATGTATATTCTTTCACTTCAACCTGTCAGAATTTGCCTTTTTTGGTTACTTCCCTTTTTAACTTTCAGCTTGAGTTTTTAGAAAAGGCGTCACTGTTTTCTGGACAGCTGACAAACAGGTGTCCACAAACCACAGAGCAGTAAGTACGTTGGTTTATTATTATAGTAAATAGACAAAGATTTCTTTTCAGTTTGCTGAAGTCTTTATTTTAATTCTCAGCTCTGTGGCGTTGTCATACAGCAGTCAGAGTGAAGGCAGTAGGGCCCTCCTCTTGACACAAATGAGGAAGTTCAGCTCTGAGCTTGTCGCAGCTTCCTTTTACAGCTTTGTGAGACAAGGGATGAACACGTGAAAGAATGGACTTATAGAAGTAACACACAATGAGGAGGTAAAAATTTGCCTGGGCGACAAACCGAGTCGAGATTTGGTTTTGCTGGATTATTGTTTGTCAGGTGCAAAACTCTTTAGTTCAGGGTCTGGAGTGAAGGACAGGATGCAAAGTTATCAGCCTTGGTACCATGGCAATATAACTCGATCCAAAGCAGAGGATCTTCTCTCCAAAGCAGCAAGAGATGGCAGCTTCCTTATCCGGGCCAGTGAGTCCATTCAGGGAGCGTATGCCCTCTGCGTTCTGTAAGTAGACTACATTTATTGTTTCTAACATTTGCACAGATGGTTTATATTGGTGCACGTTCACGGAACAGATAATGATTTGTGTTCCCTGCTCATGAAACCTGAAACCTGAGCTGAGTGAGAACTAATAAAAACACAGTAAGAAAATTAACAACTGACGTGGTTGTTAAACTGTATGTGTAAGGCATTGTGAGATGAACCAACTCTAAATGTCACACCTTGGACAAAATGAATATAACATTAAAGGGTACAGTACATCCACCTGTATTACATTGTATTATACGTGTTTGCACACATGCACTGCAACATAAGCCCAGGTCCAGTATATTTGATGCTACCTTACCCCTCAAAGCAACACATTTCTGCAGCTCATGTCATTTGTCATAGTGCAACCCTCATTCAAACTGTAATGATGCAGGTTCAATACAATGAATACATCAGCCCTCATTTTCCTGTGCCCCACAGTCTTGTTATTTTCCTGTTACACACATTTACATTTTATTATTTCAACCACAGATACCAGAACTGTGTGTACACATACAGGATCCTGCCCAATGAGGATAAGAAGCTCTCTGTCCAGGTGGGTTCATAGTTTGACGTCATAATTACTCTGATCTAAAGTCGAATGAGTTGTTATTGGTGAAGACAAAGGGATTACAGAAATATGATAAAAACCTTTATTGATACTGCACCTGTCAAACTGTTAATTTCACGTACATTTAGACATGTTCATAATAATTCATCTTTAGCTTGTAGTAACATTTTAGCCTCTAGATAATGTCCTCCTGTTCAATCAACTGTAACAACTCAAATATTGGATGGCTATTATGAAATATTACTAATATTATTAATTAATGTTCGCCAGAGGATTAAACTATTCTTTTAACTTTGGCAAGCCCTGCTTCCTCTCCAAAGTGCCATTAACAGGTTCACATTTTGGCCCTTTAGTGAAATATCCTTCCAACTATGAAACGATTTAGCTCAATGGAGTCTTTCTGGTGATCCTCTGACCTTTTGTTCGATGCTCAGATGTAAATTGCACACTGCAGATAAACATGACCCACTAAACATCAGCATATTAGCATGCTGATGTTAGCACAAACAACCACTGTGCTTTGTGTTGGCGTGTAGGCTCTAAGGGTGTGTAGGCTCTGAGGGCCACAAGCATAGTGGTAGAGTCTGACCCGGTTTCTTGAATCAGTTACATTGAAAACAACAACAAAACATGAACCACTACTCTTGCTATTTCATTATTTTAAAAAAGAATTAAGTTTAGTTGCACATATAGGGCACTTACATGTAGCACTTGTAATTTGTAGTTTGACTTTTTTTGAAACAAATTGTACGCAATGAATCCAAGTCCTCTGAACAGCCCTGCAAATCTCTATCAGACACCTACCTGATGAGACTGCAGAATATTGACCTGTCCACATAAGGTCACATGTGACCTGCTTTTAGATGGCAACAGTTTAAATGTCAGAAATACCTAGAAAAGCCGAAAAACTGGATCAGAGATGAACTGACATTTCTAATTTTAAGAAACGGGTATGTCACGGTGTATATGCTGGAGCTTCAATGAAAATGTATACTATTTTGCATTCAGTCAAGGCTGGAGGGCTAATGAAGCACTTATAGCTAAAGCCTGTTTTTGCTCACAAAATTATTTATGAGGAAAGGTTTCGTGTTAGTACAAGAACCAATAACCTGCTGCAAATCTATACATTAGAAGAGGTTTCACTAGAACGATATCTGTCTATTTTTACCCTTGATACGTAACTATGTAATTCATACAAATATTACACCCACCTGGAGGAAGTGAAAACAGCTTGAGCTTGTGACTCATAATGGGTGTAACATAATTTAGAGTTTCATTGGCATAAACTTAATGAAAGAGAGGTTATTGTTGAAAATAAAGAAGTCATTTTGAGTGACCCTGAAGTCAAACATGATGAGGTCAAGGAATGGTCTGAAGGAGAATTAGTGAATGGAAACTGCAGCGCTAAGACAATCCAACTGCACTTACACTAGCCTATGTAATCAAATGACGGTAAATGTCATTGACATGAGTCATAAATGTTGCTGCTGCAAAGAATTGTGGGGCCGCATTATTAAAAGGATGGTCCTGTGTACCCGTTCCTGTAAAGAAAAGGAGGCATAGAGGCACCTTTCCCTAGAGAATAGACTAGAGTGAAGTAGAATCATATAGCATGCACATACACCACCACAATTAAAATGTGTGCATTGGGGATGAACAAAAATGAAACAATCATGACACACAAAATGGAACCTTATTTACAAGAGAAGTGAAGCCTGTGCTTGTGAACCAGTACTCACACTGTGGTGTTCCTGCAGGTTAAATTTTGGTACAACTAAGCACTGGTACATAAAAAGTCAGCACTGTCACTTTTTATAGGTACTCATGGTATATAGTTATAGTACATGTTGATCCCATTTCCCATTTAAACAAGCTATTTAAATATTTGCAGCTGTGTTAGCTTATTGAGGAACAATAAGTAATCCAGTTCAGTCTGAGTCACAGAGCCCAACGCTGGACCTTCAAAATTCATAATCTTACAGGCTCCTTTTTAATTCATTTCTGACAACAGCATGAAGTTACAATTGCAGGTCAATTGGGGAGATAGAATTAAAGATTTCAAAATAAAGGTTCTGGAGCTCACATTTGGTTTACTCTAAAATGGGCCTGACAAATGAGGACAAAACCATGAGAATAGTTATTGTGTAGGAAAACAAATTCTTGAAGTGGCAATATTGTATATTGTGTAAGTGCTATAGAGATCGTATACTTTGAATGACACTGTAGTAGGCTAATGGGTGGGTGACCTGATGTGACATTACCTAGCCAGTAAGGGGGAGGGACCCAGCCAAAGAATCAAGATTTCAGTTAACTGGATGACAAGCCATCATACAGAAAAGCACTGAACCTTCAATTTTCCTCTTCAGTCCATGCTGTGGTAGGACAGAGTCTGTTCAAATACAGATTGACCCCAACGATCAACTTATCAATTTGACACTTAAAGACTGGACTCAAGGACATTAAAGGGACTCTTATGTGTGCATTTTTTTATTTTATTTTATTATTTTAGGGGTAACTGTATGCTATAAGTGTCAAACAACTTTGAACTGCACATTATGTGTTCTTATACAGTATATGTTCATTCAAAGTCATCCCTGTGTTGAGTCTCTTTACTGATATTCAGATCCAGGGCCCCTGTTTACCTAGTTCCTCTGATACTGGTCCACATTTACTCTCTTATTTATAGATTTCAGGTGTAACCTAGGGTTACCTATATTCTTATCAATGATATAAAAACATCAGAGTCTGCCATGGCTACTGAAGGAGATCAGATGAGTACAGGAATACAGCTATGGTCTGCTGGAAGAAGTCGCTGACAAACTAGTACACATATGTGAAATCACATGGGAAGTAACACTTTGAGAGTTGTGTCACCCACTTTCCTCTTAAAAGGAGCTCAGAACAATGGAAACATGTGTCAGTTGAGGTCACTTTAAACCTGCCTATGTGCCTCAAGAGACATCATCAAACCATGTTCCCTGCTTTGGTCTGCTCACCAGGCATCTGAAGGAGTTCCTATCAGGTTCTTCACTGTGCTGCTTGAGCTGGTGGAGGCCTATTACAGTCCCAACATGGGACTGGTCACACATCTGCAGTACCCCGTCCAGAGAGAGGAGGAGGTGGACGAGGAGCAAGGTCAAACACCTTCACTTCATCCAAACAGTGGCAATACTTGAGAACAAAATGTGTGCCAGTCATAGATGTAAACATTCCTGAATGTGTTTTTTGTCTTTGTGCTGCAGAGTCCAACAATCTTCCACCGCAGCTTCCACCCAGGAACTTCCCCTTCAACGATGTGAAGGACAGTGAATCCAAGTCCTCTGAACAGCCCTGCAAATCTCTATCGGACACCTACCTGATGAGGCTGCAGAATATCGACCTGTCCACGTAAGGTCACATTTGCAAAAACTATATTAAAAGTTGTAACTTTCTATCGATAATTCATCATGAAGACATTTGTAACATGTACAGAACCAAAATTCCTATGATTCCTATTTGACACTGGCTAAAATGTGGAATATGAGATAACAGTGCTCCTGTGTAACATATTTTTCAAGGATACCTGATGAGCATCAAATGGCCATCCAAGAATATTTCAGGACTTCAATCTGCTTGGATGTTGAACAAATACAGAACGGTAACCCCAACCTCCCTGGACTAAAGAAGCTAATCATGTCAATCTGCAAGACTCTATACAGGTAGAATTACCAGTCAACAGAATATATAATGTAGGCTATGATATTCAGTGTGGTGCTGATTTAACCATGCTCTGATCTTCTCTGTACCCCAGTGAAATTTCCCATGTTCTGCCATCTCTGGAAGTCTTCAATAAAACATTGGACCAACAGCTCTCACCAGGAGGTGGCCAATGTCCAAAGCAAGTGGGTAGCATCATTCTTCCTTTACCTAAGCATCATCACACGAAAAATAGTCTCTAACATAGCGCACCCAATAGCTCACCTGGTTGCAGCTTCCTTGAGTTTGATTGCAGCTCTTTGCTTCATGTCTTCCTTATTAAATGGACTTGATTTCTGTTTTTCAGTTGAGTTATTTTTTGTTTGTAAACCACATCACTGGGGATAGTGCTGCAGAACTCCAGCATATCTTGTTCTCCATAACTTACTCATTAGCATCCAGTAGAGATCTCGGTTTGAACAGGGCCGTTTTTCTATAAATACTTCATATACAGATATAACAGATTTGTAATTAACATTAAAGTTAAAACCAATAGATTTCATTTTCCTCCAAACATCTGACAGTGTAAAAGCAGAGGTTCGAATGTTTCATCTTCAGAACAGTTGGGACAAGCTTTGGTTGTGACAAAGCAGCTCCATTCGACAACTGCTACTCGATGTATCTCGGGACTCTGAGCTCAGCTCAGGGTCATCTCCAATCTTGTCTTGGTGCATTTAAACTCCTCTACAAGACTTGAGATAGGCAGCTTGAGGATGCCGTGTCTTAAGGTTGCAGCTGACATCCTGCTTCAGTTGCTGGACCTGCTCGCAGTCTTTAATGCTTGCATTGTAGCATCGTCAAAGGCTTCTAATAGGTTTCTCAGACACCAAGAGCTGAGGACGGTGTCTGGGCACTGTAAACAAAATCATTGATCCTCACATTGCAGTTACTATGTCACTTCCTGCCTTCTGTTCCCGGCTGTTCCACCTCTCACCTGAATAATGCAGAGGATTAGTTACTGTTGTGAATGCATCTGTTCAGAAAACCTCCTGCTGTGTTTTGCATGTGTGTACCGAATGGGGAAGAAGGAGAAGTACGATATTGAAACACACAGTGGATGGCAGTAATGCACCTTGAGGTTGGTTGCTATCCGCCAATAAACCAAAAGAAGAAGAGTTACAGGATATACAGATGGGTCCAAAGATCCTATTACAGGGAGAAAAGGTTTTGGTTTCAGTATTAAAAGTTTCAGTGAAAAGGAGAACCTTGGATCATTTATCACTTTACACAGTGGAGATGGTAGCGATTGTGGCTGCATTACAATAGATAGAAGAGTTACAAATCAGGAAGGTTGTTTTGTGTACAGGCATGTGCTCAGCATTAATGTTGTTAAAGTCATTTTCATCAAACAGGAGGTCCCATTTAGTTGATGAGATATTTGAGACCCTGTATAGATTTCAAAATGTGAATATTGTGACTACTGTCATGTGGATACAGGCTCACAGAGGAATAAAGTGTAATGAAGGGGTGGATTCATTGGCTAAGCAAGCACTAAATCATCAAGTAAAAACAATATTCAAAGGAAACAGGAAAGAGGAGAACATTACGAGACTCAAAAATACACTGCACTTAATAAACAAACATCCAGCAGGATCACAGGATTGCTGACCAACAGAGGAGTCAGTGGAGAATGTAATGCTTCACTGCAATAAGAATGTTAGAGAACGAGAAAGCTAAAGAGGGAAATTGCATGGAGTGGAAGAACTGAGCTTGGAAATAGTATTTACCATTGGAATAGGGAGTATGCTCCATTATCTGAAAGAGACGTAATTGGACAAAAGAATTTAATATGGCCTAGATAACTCTGATCCACTCTCTCCTGACAAATAAAAGTAAAGGCCCCAAAAAACCTTCAAAAAAGTCCTAATCATCATGAACTGTTTCTTTTTTCAGATTTCCATCGATTCAGGTCAGTCTGTGCCCTTTAGGCTTGAGCAACTGACAAAACTGCTGTACTCCATAGAAGATAAGGTAACATACCATGACTCATCTCTGACAAGTCAGCAGATGACGTTCTAGATGTCAACCATCTTTTAATTTTTTTTTCAGGCAAAGAGTTCTATGTTTGAGTCTGTTGGACATGAAGGAGGTCACAGGAAATCTCTCATCCCGGTTGTCATGTTTGAGGTGCTTTTCTGAATAAGTTATTGTTTTAATATCCAGATGTTTGCAGTTCATTTCATCGGTTTCCTCTTTCACTCTCAGGTCAAGCAAGAATCCCTTGGTATTTCCACAAAGATGTCATTGAAAGTGGATGTAGAAAGTGGGAAGCTCTACTTCAAGAAGTCAAAGGATGGGCCGGACGACAAATACTTTGTGCACAATAAAAGTAAGTTCTTCAACCTCATTCCTTCATATTGGTTTTAAGCCATGCTCGTAGTGTGGTTCAGGCAATGGTCAGATGGTCCACTGCTTTGGTGCACACTGAAATATCACAGTGATCTCATTTTTTCATGATGAATGATTCTCCAACTTTCCCTGCAGAACTACCATAAAATTTGCACTTGTACTATTTGATTGTTGGTTGGTTGGTTTGTTTGTTATCAAGTTAATGCAAAAACTACTGGACGGATTACTGCCAGTCTTTGATGAAAGGATATTAATAAAAATGTCTTTATCATTGGATTTTTCAAACATTGTCACAGATTACCCAGTGAATAATTCATGGATCTTGATAAAATATCTTTATTTATATTCTCCAATACTTTGTTTTATGATCAATTTCCAGATAATGTATCGACATTAGCCACATCTACACTTTGTGGTCCGGTGATGCAGCTTGAAATTGGTTGCCAACCACCAATAAACTGAACCTAGCACTTCAAGCAATAGGTTAGCCTGCTAGTATGCTAAACCAAGATGGTGTGCATGTTAATCATCGGATGTGCTAAACAACATTGTGTTTGCATGGAGACTGTAGCATTTAGCGTTGAGAAATGTGATGCCTTATTGTAGTGTTCTGGAGCTGCCCTATGCATGTTAATAAACTGCTGTAAACCATGAACATTACTCTTTCTTAATTTTTCAGTCCTGCAGCTGGTGAAATCTCAGAAAATGCACACCAAACTTGTCATCGTGTTGGAGACGGAGAAAGAGAAGATTTTGCGTAAAGAGTTTGTGTTTGATGACACAAAGGTAACAGACAACTGGCAGATGGCTTGCTCCTGACTGACCTTGTGGCACCTTGAATTTTTAAATCGAGTATTTATCCAAAACATCAAATATTCATTGATGAAATTGGATTAACCTCACTCTGTTAATTAGCTAATATTAACAACCTTTTTTCCATCTGAGCTTCAAAAAACCTGATAGACATGAACTTTTTGACATTAAGCAGAACCTAATGGATTTATGCAGGAGACAGTTGCCCAAAGCTTGAGAAAAGATGGTTTCAGGGGTTTTAAATATCAGTCACATATAATTCACAAGGTACAACTGAACTGGAACTGATGTGTCTTTAAGAAATCATGTTTTTCAATGTTTCTCACCAGAAAAGAGAGGGATTTTGCCAACTGCTTCAGCAAATGAAGAACAAACACTCTGCAAAACCTGAACCTGACATGATCTCAGTGTTTGTTGGCACCTGGAACATGGGTAGGAATGTTAATATTTGACACCAGTGTGTGTGTGTGTGTGTGTGTGTGTTGAGAGAGTTGTGAAACTATATCTCTATATCTCAAATGCCTACTGATATTTACAAATGCGTATGAGAACCTGCAAATGTGGATTTAGTATCTGAGTGTGTAATCAGATTTTCAAATGTGTGAAAAACACCCAATCTGGATAAACATTGTCAGATTTCTGTACAAACTGTATTTGCAAAACTCAGGACACATCTGCAGATTCTTTTAACATTTACGAATCTGACTGTGCACACATGGATTGGAGACAGTTACAGGTTGAATGAAATAGAATTCATGACTGACCAAGTAACACTACAGTAAAATACATTTCTATGAACCTGCAGGAAATGCCAGCCCTCCCCACAACATGGAGTCCTGGTTTCAGTGTAAAGGCCAAGGAAAGACCAGAGACGACACGGCAGATCACATCCCACATGATTTTTATGTCATTGGGACGCAGGAGGATCCTTTGGGTGAGAGGGAGTGGGCCGACACAGTGAAAGGAGTCCTGCGGAACATCACAAACATCAGCTTTAAACAGGTGAGTGAGTGTGAAGGAGAACAAACAGAATACAGACACAGAGGAGGAATCCATCATGTACATTTTCTCACATCCAGGTGGCAATTCACACTCTGTGGAACATTCGGATTGTGGTCCTGGCCAAGCCCGAGCACGAGAACAGGATCTCCCACCTTTTCTCTGACAGTGTGAAGACAGGCATCGCCAACACACTGGGTAAACAGGTCCTCTTCTCCACCAGCCATTCAATGACCTGTCGTAAAATTCTTTGAGGAACCAGCCCTCAGTGCTGAATTTGTTTTGTAGGAAACAAGGGAGCAGTGGGAGTGTCCTTCATGTTCAACGGGACATCTTTTGGCTTTGTCAACAGTCACCTGACCTCAGGAAGTGAGAAGAAACTCAGGTCAGGAGCAGATTACACAAAACCAATATTCATTACATCACTGAGAATAGAAGGATAAATATCAGAGCTGTTCCTTTTACTTTCAGTCAGTTTGTAAAAGAGAAGAAGCAAGCACACCCACTCTCACAATTCATTCTTATAACATGATGACCTTCTTCAAAATAATGTATTTTTCTTTAAATATTTAAATATTTTTATTATAAGTATGACGCCTCTTAATTGCGACCTTRTTCTTGAAATTAATTAATTAAAAATTTATTTTTCAACATTACCTAAATAATCCCTCATTATCAAATATTTGTCTTTTTTCTGTCTCCACTTGACACACATTGAATAATTCATCTGGTCTCCTCATGAAGATGAAAGTCGCACACTTAAAGATAGATTTTATGTAACTAGAAGTATACTGTCTCCAAATAGCATTGTTCAGCTTATTTTGTTACTGATAACTTTCTCACTTTGTTAGCATCACTTTGTTGGCTAAAGCATAATCTGTATTTTTTTGTTGTATTTGCAGACGTAATCAAAACTACACCAACATCCTGCGGTTTCTGAATCTGGGAGATAAGAAGCTAAATCCCTTTGACATAACAAATCGCTTCACCCACCTCTTCTGGCTCGGTGATTTGAACTACCGTGTTGAATTCCCATCTACAGTAAGTTATGATGAATGCAGTTTATTGTATGGATGACCAAAAAAAGAACTAAAGTAATTGTTGCTACAACATTTTAACTATGTATTAAGTCATCCTAGTATTAACCTGCAAATTCATATGTATTAAATCTGTGTTTTTTTATGTACATCTAATACATTTAATACATTTAACCCCAGACATTGAAGATCCAGTCGGCACCTGAGTGACTTGTGCATGAAAGAACTCGCTGGTTGTCAGGTGTCTGAGCTCTGAGCTACCAACACTTTTAGGCAGGAAAAGTCACCACTTTGTTTCCCTGCAGGAAGCTGAGTACATTGTGTCAAAGATCAAACAGCAGCAGTACCAGGAACTTCTCTGTAAAGACCAGCTCAGCATTGAGAGGAATGATGGAAAGGTCTTTCTGCATTTTGGTGAGCCATGACCAAATTTAGAAAATGTAGACAGACTGTACAGCAGGTTGGTTTATGGTGTTTTTTTTTTTTCTGGTCATTTTTTGGCATTATTGATTGGCAGCATACTTATTACTTCTTGTTGATTCTCTGTTTGATTGTAGATGAGGAGGAAATCACGTTTGCACCAACCTATCGTTTTGAGAAAGATACGCGAGAGAAGTACGCCTACACAAAGGCCAAAGCCACAGGGGTAAGTTGATACTGAGTCAAATGTCTCTTCCCCGTACAGCGCCTGTCAGGCCCTGAGGGCAAAGCGACTTCAACATTGAACACAAATCTCAATTGACCAAGAACACGTTTTTTTCTTGATGTCATCTGGGTTAAAAGGTCCATGTGAAGATTTGGCTCATAGAAAATGTATGACATGACCTCCACAATCATTATCACAAACATCCATCCATTAATTATTTATAACGCTTATCCTTTGAGGGTTGCGGGGGGAGCTGGAGCGAATCCCAGCTGACATTGGGTGAGAGGTGGGCTACACCCTGCTGGGCGCCAGTATATCACAGGGCCAATATACACTGTACAAAGACAAACAACTTTTGACTCTCATATTCACACGTACAGTCAGTTTAGAGTGTCCCTTCAACTGAATCCCCAATCTGCATGTGTTTGGACTGTGGCAGGCAGCCAGAGTACCTGGGGAAAACCCTTACAGACACAGGGAGAATATGCAAACTAAACACAGAAAGATCATGGGTCAGAGAGTCAGCAGACTGATCACCAACATCACAGCTACTTTCTGAAGACTGGATTTCCAGTCCTGTGCATGTAATCTGTTACAAACTGTATTTATGTATGAATAACAAACTTCACTTTACAGACTAAATACAATTTACCCTCATGGTGTGATCGTGTCCTGCGGAAGTCCTACCCTCTGGTTCATGTTGTCTGCCAAGCATACGGTGAGTAATTCCCCTGCTGTGTTCCCAGCAGTGTTTTAAATTACAGCTTCTTTTAGTTGGTGCACAGTATTGCAGCTGAACATATTTATGATTGTATATGTTGGCCAGTTACTACATATTTGTACAACAGAGTTATTTTTAACAGTGCAATTTTGGTCCCAGTTCTTAATGTAAAAATAATGAGTAAAAACTTAAAGCTAGGGTTGGTAATCCTGGAAAAGATAGCAAGAGCAGGCTACACTATGAACGTGTACTGCCTTGACAACTGCTACAAGACTCATTTTGTTACCCGCTTGCTCACTTCTGGCTATTGTCCCTGCTTCAGAGGTGTATGTCTTTCTAGAAGACCTGAGAGCAAAGGCAGGGTGCAAACAGGCAGGCAGGTTAGTGACAGACAGATACGCCAGCCATCATTTTATTTGGATCAAATGAAATGATAAGTGGTGTTAGTTATGGTCCTGTGACGGCCACAGGCACGTGCCTTTGTTCCTTTTTTCCAGACAACAGCATTTATTCATGTGAAAAGGTTTCAATAAACAAGATAAAAAGTGTTTCAGAAACAACTTACCAACCCGACCTTTAAGTTTTTAATTCCCCTTGTAAAAAAACAAACCTTTTCCACAAAATTTCCAATGGGAATATTACAAGACGTTTAAAAAATATGGGCAGATAGAATGAAGTGCAACACATTTTATGTGACAAACTCTTTTGCATTTACTTTAACTTGCAGGGTGCACCAATGATATCATGACAAGTGACCACTCACCTGTATTTGCCTCGTTTGAAGTCGGAGTTGCTTCACAGTTTGTCTCCAAGCAAGGTACCATCACCAGCTTCGAGCTGTACCTCCCTGCCAATTAGAAACTGTGTTATGATGTAATCGCTTGTTTGTTCAGATCCAAACAGTGCGCCTCAAGGTGGAATACAGATCATGAACTGCATGGCCACGTTGTTGACAAAATCAAAGACCAAGTTCTTCATCGAGTATCACTCCAGCTGCTTGGAGAGTGAGTCTCATCTTTTTGATCGACCACACCTCACTGGATTCTCTTTGAATTTGTTTGAAATAGATGAAGATGATCAGAACAAACGTTTCTTTGAATCTCTGCAGAAACTGTGAAGACGTCAGAGGGAGAGAACACAGAGCACTCAGATGGGTCCATTAAAGTTTGGTTTAGCAACCAAGTGGTGGTAAAGTGAAGATGTGACTGGTGTTGAATGTGCCTCATCATGGCATCAGGCAAACGTCATTCATGTTATTTTCTATTTTTTCAAGCTCACCCCCATCATCTCTGACCCTGAGTACCTTTTGGACCAGCACATCCTCATCTGTGTGAAGTCCACAGACTGTGATGAGTCATACGGTACTGAAACTACTCGTGGTATGAGATGTACATGCACTGAGCAGAGCGTAACTCACGGTTGACTTGAGCTCCTTCAGACATGCACTAAGTGCATGTACTAACCAAACCTCTGTATTTCCTCCGGAGGAGGTGCATGTGTGAACGCAGAGTGAGAGGCACTGCAAGTGAGTGAGGGTGTTGATGATGCCTCCAACACGTTCCACTTTCGGAATAATACAGAATACAGAAATACAGAGAGCTTGTGGAGCTCACTTCTGTGCAGAAAACCTCCCTCTGTGTCGTGCATGTGTAAAAGGCAAACTCTGGGAAGAAAATTCTACTATTTTACCCACAGGTCATGTCTGAAAATGGCTTTACTGTTATTTCCAAAGGTGAGGGCTGTGTTGCGCTGCGAGCTGCCGAGTTCTGCTACACAGAGTTCCAGGTCACACTGACTCACCAAGGGGATAAGACGGGCACTTTGATAGGCGGGATCCAGTTACAGACCTCTGTGGGCAAACCAACAGAGAAGTTGTATGGTAAGTCAGGAAATCAGCTCAGGAACTTCTTTATCAAAGCTGCCTTGAGACATGAACTGAACTCTGGACAATGTCAGGAGCTGTATGTGAGAATGCAAATGTACAAATAAGAGTCTTCAGAGTTTCTCCTGCCAGCCTCCTTATAAAAACTCCTAAGAATGTCCTAAGAGCTGATGTGAGAACACAGCAGGAGATCCACCCCAAGATGTCAAGAGAGCTTTTGAGAATAAGGGCTGAAGTCTGTGATGATGTGCTGTACATAAAAAGTAATTTGATCATTGCAGTGGAATTTATACACATTTGGTTGACATTGCAGAATTGTCCCAGATTGCATCTCCATGTAAGAGGTTGTATCACTGTAAAATCCAGAATTTAATTCCACAAACAGCTGTTAGCAAAGACAACAGGGTCAACAACACTTGTAATTGATTGTCCATGTTGAAAAAGTGGAGCCACACACCAACAAAGATGTCAAAAGAGATTTTGGTGATTAGAGTCAATGATGGTGTCAATAAAAACATGTGATCTCTGCAGCAGAACCTTTATGTTACATCCTGCCTCTACCTGCGGCTCCATCCTTCACCAGAACTCTGCAGGGATTTCTGTGTTGCTGTGAAAGCGTCTAAGTGGACAACCTCCTGCTGCCTTGTTCATGTGTGAAAGACAAATTATTTGGCTTCAATGTCTTCAACCTCTCGTAACATCACCTCCTATTTTCCTCTGATTTCAGATTTCATCAAAATTGAAAGGGATGACCCTGTTAGCTCCAAAGGCAAAGGCAACGACCCCAACAAGTGAGACATTTTTTTAAATCTGTGGTTCAAGAATATCTCAAACACATTCTTCCTTCTGTGATATTTTCTGTCTGCTTGTTGACAGGAACACCACCATCCAAGCACATGATATTTCTAACCCCAGTTACGTAGGAGTGATGTACAAAAGTGGGAAACTGGTGGATAAAGGTTGGAGTTACAGCATGCCTACAAAAAGTCTTGCAATCGCCGGGCAGGGGGTTAAGGACTCCAAGAATATCAGCACACGCAGTCCCACGGGGAAACCCTGTTCTATGTAAGTGTTTTCTAGTCCAATTTAACGTCTGTTGTAGTTTTATTACTGACACTGTATTCTTTACAATCTTTGCATGACACAATTGTGCAAGCACCAGCACTTCACTGCACGTCCAATTTTAGGACAAGAGAAGCTGACCTGAACAATACGGAGCCTCTGAAGTCCCAAAAGATGATATTTTGTTATCGTGTGCGCACAAGATAAATAAGTTGTGTGCACACAGAGTTAATATCTGCGTTGTAAAGACATGACTGGCCGATGCTTTGAAGACAACACTAAGTTGCATTTATAGCTAGTTTGTTAATTTCTCAAGTATTATGATCGAAACATAGTCCTTCCATCGGCTGAGCCTGTCGCCTTTCAGTATGTGCAGCAAATGATTCCGGATAATCCTGTGTCTCTGTGCAAGAGCAACACGAATTTCATTAAATAAGTAACTTTTGTGCACAAGGTTTAAAAAAAAAGGTAATCTTTTGGGACTTCAGGGACTTCGTGAAAGTGCTTGCAGCCAACCACTCATCTCATATACAAGATGTGTTATGAGTTCTTCTGCACATGCCAAGTATTCACTGAAATGCTCTGAAAATAGTATCAAACCATGGTCCTTTGCCTCGTAGGGAGGAGGATGAAAAGTCAGAGATGTTTGACAACCCACTGTACGATTCAATGGCAAAATCTCACAGTAGGAGCAAGGACAAAGACCTCCACAAGAAAGATCACCTCACACCTCTGGACCCATCGCTTCCACCCTCCAAATCAGCAGATGGAGACCCTGACCGCCCCCCAGTGCCCACCCCACGCAACCGCTCCTTCACCTGCTCTGAGAACAAGTCTCAGCCTCCGATCCCCAGCGTTTCACATTCCTCAGCTCACAAGAAACCAGTGGTGCCCTCGCGTTCCGAGGGCGGGATGGCACACAACCGGCCTCCTTTGCCGGCCAAGTCCCGACCAGGCATTCCGGATCCCCAGACCCCTAAACCCAGAGACTACAGAGACAGCACCGACCTCCCCAACAAACTCAGGCCGCCTGCAAGACCTGGCCAGTCACAGGCTCACAAAGAGAGTAAGGAAAACATTTTGTCTTAACTTTGCAGATAAGCAGAATTCAAATGTTGCAAACTCTTTGTCTTTCCTTAGTACATCCTGAAGTTCCTAAGATGGGCCGCTCTGTGAAGTGAGATCTGAACTCAGCGCTGCTCCTCATTGACTGTACAGCTTTCTGCCCTGCATGTCTGGAAACAGGAAATACACAAAGGAAAACTTTCTGTGTCACTGATGAGGGACTATTCACTTTGGGAAATACTCATATTTTCTGTTTTCTGCTGAGATTTAGCTGAGAAACTTGATTCCTGTCTCATATTTTTCTTTTCAAAATGAAGCTGTGGCCAATGCTCGCTAGCTTAGGTTTGCATAAAGGCTGGAAACAGGGGGGGGGGGCTGATCACACATATGCAAACGTGTCAGTGCCAACTTCCTGTTCACTTCCAATCTACACAAGCAAGGGGTGAATGAAACATTTGCCTCTTGTGATGATGCAAATTGCCGCCAGGCTTGATGGCTTTGATGAACTTTGACCTGTGATATTTGCTTCACATTCTCTTAGGTGTGACCATAGCAGACACAGCTAGGCTGGCTCTACATTGACACCTGTGGGCAAAGCCTGGTTTTACTTTTTTTTTAATGTGCATTGACCTGCTCCTCGGAAGGTTTAATTTCCCAAGTTGTGAAGCTGTTAAGACTGCAGTGTGTTCAAGTCCTTAGAAGGTAATGTTATAGCTATTCCTAAAATAGTATCATTTTATAGCTGATGGCATCAGCGACTCTGCTTGATTTCCAAATGTTTTCGACTTTCTTTCAATGGCATTCAGCTGAATCTTTCCAGTCAGTAACTCACCTTTCTGAAATACCGATACCACATGAACATACAATAAGTCTTTACTTTAAGCTAAGCTTCCATCATCCTTGAGATACTGTATGTGGTATCAGTTTTGGTGGTGGTTAATGATTCTCTTTACCAAAGTGTGGAACTGTTGCTTTTTAGGGCGTATGAATATCAGGTACACATCTTCAGACCTAATTGAATGAATGAATTAGCACTAATTGAACTCTGCTATGAAACAATTACATGTCATGTTGACTTTCACTCTATACAGTAGCTAACGAATGTGTACTGCACAGTATTAACTTGCACAGACATTGATGTTTGTCTTGAAGATGTGTAATAAATGCTCCAATATATCTAAATATTGAATCTCAATGAAACTTTGTGTGTGTGATTTGGATTCTGTTTTTCTTTCATAAATTAAAGAATGATTTCAAATATCTTTTTAGACCTTCAAAAGCGAGGTTTCCACTCACTATTGTATACAGAAAGAATATAATTGGATCAATGTGTATTCTGTTTACATTAAGATAAATATCGTTTAGCACAGGGAAATGTAAGCAAGCAAATTCAGTTTCATTTTATGCAGAAACATTGACTATAAAATCTTCACTGCAGATAAACCGGGTAGGATGAACACAGTCTGCATCATAGACTGTTTATAACGTCCAGCGCACAAACAATAAAAAGTGACAGTATATTGTAGAACTGTTTGAGGACGACTCACTAATGACAAGGAATAATTCTGAAGTCGCTGTGGAGCATCAACCCAGGACAAGAGGTGGAGAACAGACTTTAGAAGAAGTAACTTCAGAAGAAAGACGATAATGATGTCATGATGTCATGATGTCATGATATTGTCAGACCTCACTTCAGGGACTGAAGTTCAACATGTCCACACCTGGGCACACTCAGCGCCCCTCTGGCTCCCCCATGTGCACAACACCGGTAATTACGCCCCGGCCCGTCGCAGAAATACCACGCAGTGTGATTCGTCATAAGAAGCAGACGCACAACCACCAGATTAACACCAGCAACAATGGTGAGAAACACGTTTCAATTATAATTTTCGTTAGAAAACAATAAAATGTCTCATCTCAACATTGAGTGAGACTTCCCACAATTCACTGTGTCTGTCTCACGCGCTCTGGTTTGCTAGCTGAGCACGCTGTGCAGTTAGCCCGCTGCTAACAACGTTAGCATGTCGCTTTCTCTTCCAGCTCTTCTACTCGTTTTTCAAGTCGCTGGTGGGGAAGGATGTGGTGGTGGAGCTGAAAAACGACCTGAGGTGAGTCTGCATTCAGGTAACCCCGCAACGTGCACACATTAGCGGGCTAGCCTCCATTGTTTAGTTCCAGCATAGTTGCTAACGCTAGCTGTGTGGTCAGTGGATGGAAACGATGGCAGACAGTGAGGCTCTGAAGAACCGACTTATATACACACATTGTTATGCTATAAATTACACAGACTCATCTCTTCCTGATTTTTAAATGACATCTTCGAAAACACTAAGTCTTTCCTACACCACTCAGCCTTTGTTACTGTACTGGTTGATTGTTATGGATGTTTCTCTTCTTATTTTGTCCACATCAGTGGGATTGTGGTTGTCAATCCTCCTGGTGTCAAAGTGGGATGTCTATTAATGCCTGTAATCACTCTTACTCTTCACATCTCTCTTCTTTTTTTTTAGCATCTGTGGAACCCTTCATTCTGTTGACCAGGTCAGATACAATGAATATTCTTTTGTTTTGAAACAAAACTGATCAGCTTCTACATCTTCTGTCGGACTTCCAGGTTATGGCTTCTAATCTTCTAAAGCCTCCTTTTCTGCTTGTGTTTCAGTATCTGAACATCAAGCTCACAGACATCAGTGTCACAGATCCAGAGAAGTATCCACACATGGTAGGTGTTCAGCTCATTCACTGTCTTCACGTGGTTCAATGGTAACGACATGCTTTTCTTTTGATCGGTTTGGGGTTCTTTTAAAAAACAAAGCAAGACATTGTTTTATCACCATGATATCTTAAGATGTTTACTAACTTAAGGAGAAATTCTTATATGATTTTCAATTTGATACATTTCAGGAGTCTGTTGCAGAAAGTAAAGTATTACTTCAAACTCCAAACATGTTGAAGATTTTTCTCAAATATTCTTTAAACCCACACTTAACAACACATTTGCGTGTCACGAATCCCCACAGAGGTGGATGTTAGTCTACGAGAGCCTGTCAGATGCAGAAGCAGATGTCTGTGGTTGCTGGTGCTTGATGAATGGTTGGATAAATACTTTATTGATCCCAAAGAAAATTAAGGCATCTCAGATTCACAGAGGTTAAAGTAAAGAGCTTTACATGTGGACTAGATTACCCATACAAAAAATAATTTGTGTATTTTCTCTGCAAAACATCAAGTAGAACATGCAAAATGTGAACCTTTTTATAATTTGATGCAATATTAATACTTTATAGTGATTTCAATATTTTTGTGTATACACATTTTTGTGTATACACAAAAATACCAGTAAATCCTACATTAGTTTTGTGTTGAAGTAATATTGGACCGTTTTAATTTGTCTCCAGCTGTCGGTGAAAAACTGTTTCATCCGAGGGTCTGTGGTGCGGTACGTTCAGCTTCCTGCAGATGAAGTTGACACTCAGCTGCTGCAAGACGCTGCACGAAAAGAAGCAATGCAGCAGAAGCAGTGATTTACCTGCACAATGGGGTTTAGTTCAGGGTGGGGGGGGGGTTGGTGGGGGTTGCTTGTGACAGATAATAATGAGTAATTCAAGTTTTCAGTTAATTTCATTTCAATTCTTGTCATTAAGCAGTCATGGTCATGAGCCACTGCTCTTTCGCAAAGATTTTAAGTGCATTCCTGACATTAGCGATCAATAATTTACACAACTGTAACAATCAATGTAATTTGTTTAGTTTAAAAGAAATGGCGCAAAGATGCAATTTTGAGCCGTGTAAAGGCAAAGATTTGTTGTAATGATTCTTTTGCATAAAACCAGCACTGTTGCTTATGACTGGGATTTTTTTTATGCCACTTCAAAATAAAAAACTATTTTATTTACATTTTGACCAAGTCATTGTCATTGGTGGGTCTTTATTTTCTGTAGCTTTTCCATTGGAAGTTATAGTTTTGTTAAATCAAATTATTGGGGAAAAATGAATAATCTTTATTTCCATGAGTTAGCAATAAATGTAAATCATTGCATTTATGTGCTATAGTCATGACCAGCAGCTTAAAGAAATACTTTTACCCAATATTAGCCACGTTTATATAGACAGTACTGTGGAACTGGGATTAGCCAATCAGTCTTCTCTGATTGTGCTACTGTTAAACTTACTACATTTACTCCATTTATCATGTTTTATTTCATATTTATCATAAAGAACTGGATGTTTTGATGTGGCCTTCAGTCGCCCTCTTAAGCAGCTTTGTGATATATTACAAGCAGCCCCTCAGTGTGAACACTAACGTTGAGAAGTTGCTACAGTATTTATGGCACTTTTTATGAGCAGGGAGACGAGCATGTGACACATTACCTGCGATCTGGGATTCCTTTATTGCTGACGTGGAGGGGAATCAAGCTTTATAGGTGCTTGACTTTGCACCACATCTCTTTTTAGTTGCTATTTCCAATAAAAAATAAAGTAAACTGTAATTTTTGAATCCAGTTGAATAAGTTCATATTAAAATGATCCTCCAGCAGTCGGTAAAGGATGAACGTTTCGGCAGGTCAGACAAGTTAAATGCTTGTGCTGTGTAAATGTTTATTGATTGATATGATCTACATTTTATGTCCACTATTATGTTGCAGTGTAATCAGGCAAAACAGTCAGTATATCCAGTGTTATGTTTCCCATATGATAAACTAAAAGGAAGAGCCCCCTCTGGTGTTAATACATAGAAATTCAATACCTTTATTTTACATTCATACATCTATAACATTGTACAATAAGTTTAATGAAGTTTAAAAAAAAAACCCAATTCAAAAACAAGTCCTGAAAATGTACAATGATAAATTTGCGTGTTTTTTTACGGTTGTGACAAGCATTTAAAAAGATATACTCACACGTATACATATACACACGCTCACACACACCCACACTGGGAATTAGGACCAGTGATGTCCTTGAGTTGTACCTTAATAGAGCTGGGCTGAATGGGGGAGGAATTCAGTCACCATAGAGAAAGGCACATTGAATACACAGTGTATGTACAAACAAAAACCTTGACACGTACACAACTTTACTGTAGAAGCTAGAACAAAGACCAAAACTGTAAACCTTCACTTATTAAAAACAAATTAAACAAAAACAGAAGTCAGTCACATCTATACAAATGCATTTGAAGCAAAATATTTTCTTGGTCATAACAAAGCAGTACCTTGAAATGCATTTCAACACTTAGATTGGCTCTGCCAGCAGAGAGCAATCCCACAGATATTATTACACAATATGTCACAATATTTATGCAGTTGCCCGCTTCCAGCACGCTGACAACTGGCAACAGTAAGAGAGTATCTCATGCATATCGTCATCAGACAGCAGCAGTCATCTGATATGTTTTAGACCAAATCCAATTATGTCAATGTCATGGTGACTTTTTTTTCCCTTTTGCACGAATATGGCAACTTGACATGGTGCAACATGTACGTACATCTACATAAAAATGTATAGACAACTCTATACAGCCGCAAATTCCATTATCTTAAAATATATGTACCACCCGTCAATCAAAATTTTCAATACTTCCAGAAAAGTAAGTTCTCTGATATAAAATACTTTATTTTCAAAAAACAGATTGTTTACATTCCATCCTTCAACAAAATAAAGCTTTATATACGTACCTTCAAAGCTTAGAAACACTCCCAACATACATACATTTATATATATATTTATATCTATATAGAAACAATAAAGTGACTAAGATGCCATATGTGGCTCTACGTTCACATGTAGTGGAAACCCGTTTAGAGTGGCATACACAGCCAATTTATTTGTCTAATGAACACAGTGTGGCACTACAATTTTGGATGATTGTACAAGTTGGGGTCTTTAAATGCCAAGGTCAAGATTGCCTCCAATAAAACTGTTCCCTTATTCTGGTTCAGCACGCCTTCGTCAAATCGGTGGGCATGTCAGCCGTGGACATACGATATTGGATCTTTGTGTTAGTGATGGCGCCGTGCTTCTGACGAAGATGCAGCCGTAACTGACTCTTGTGGCGGAAGTGCAGGTTGCATTTCTCACACTGAAAAGAAAAGCAGAGCGACATTACTTAATGGTTAGTTTATAATTTATCTGGAGGTTATGTTATTGTTTAATACTTTTTAAAATAAAGTGAAATATGCTATGTTAACCTACATGGTAGGGCTTTTCTCCCGTGTGTATACGAAGGTGGCTCTTCAGCGTCTGCAGGTGACGGAAGCGTGTTCCACAGATCTCACATGGATATGGCTTCTCACCCGTGTGGATCAACACATGGGCACGGAGATGAGCTACCTGTTTTCAAAGAAATAAAAGAAATAAGCTTCAATCCAATTATCTGACTCATGAAAGAAGCCCCAACTATTACTGGGGAATGTTTTTGAAAATCCTTTGACACAGTTTTATGAAACTGCACATGCATTGGTATGCATGGTTTAAAAACCAAAATACCCTTTAGGATGTTCTCTTCTGTAATTATGAGTACTTCTGTAAAGCCGATAATAACCCGACACACCCATCAGAGTTCAGTAATAGTTCTATGAGCACATATTCAACCGAGGTTTTGATGAATCAGTGTTAATACCTGCACAAAACGAGCTCCGCACGTCTCACATTTGTATGGCTTCTCTCCTGAGTGGATGCGAGTGTGAGTCTTGAGGTTAGCTGGTCGGTTAAACTGAGCACCACAGATATTACAGCGATACGGCTTCTCTCCTGGAAGAAAGAAATCAAAGACTTAAGACTTCAGCGGCAAAAAGACACACACTTGAAAGCCAATAAAGAAATCTTAGATCAAGGAGTTTTATCTGAAAGCAGCATGTTTTATTTTACCTGTGTGGACAGTCTTGTGGCTGGCGAGGTTGCCCTTATAGCGGAAAGCAGCCTGGCAGCGGTCACACTTGTATGGCTTGTCGCTGTGCACTTGAAGCATGTGTTGTTTCAGCGCTTCATCTTCCGCAAACTTGGAGTCACATTCGTTGCAGAAGAAAGTACCGTTCTCTATTTGGGGAGAAATCATAAACGTCTAAATTATACAAGATCTTTTTTTTTTTTTTTTTTTTTTCCATTCGTCACCGACATTTAAAATCTGTCATAAACCCACCACAACTGGAGTCAGAGTATTCTGAGTGTAGTTCTGCCATCTCTTCTGATAGACGGGAGCGAGAGGTGTTGGGACAGACCTCTGAGTGCTGTGGGGACTGGGAGCCACAGGAGGAGCAGTTCATGCGGCTCAGGTAGTGAGGAGCGTGGCTGTCACCATTCCTCAGTGACCCCTCAAGTGCACTAAAGACAAAAACAAAACAGATACTTCCAATCAGACGAAGGCAAATGTTTAAAATAAGACATTAAAAAAAAAAAGGGGTCATTCTCAAATAAAAGTTTCTAAACTCATCCGAGTCGGAGTCTAAAACCTAGAGCATTGACACTGATTTGTTTTTTCAAGGAATAAAGACTTGAGGTGAACTATTTAAGGCTCACAGAAAAACTGGATCATGGAAAAAACCCTGGCTGTAAAATCCTCTGCTCATACAATATCTTTCTACATTACCTCAGAATCCTCCCAGCACATCCTACATTCATTTCTTTGTACTTAAGCACGTTGTGCAGTTATGTATTTAAGACAAACATGCTCACCTGTTGATGATGTTGTTAAGACGACTAGCCTGGGGCACGGGCGGGTCCTCGCTGTGATTGTTGCTCTTGCTTATGGTTTGTGGGTCGAGGTTCTCCGAGTCACTGGGGTGGAGGTAGGGTTGTAGGCCGAGGTGCTGAGGTGACCGAAGCCCAGGGTCCCGCAGCCCCACCTCGTCTTCCTTAGCACTCTGATTCAGAACAATGAACTTATACTTCTTCCAGTTCCGAGCTTTGGGGTCCTGCGTGCCTTGCGGGGCTTGCACTCCGGCGGCTTGGGAGAGTCCGGCGTTCTTGCTACTGCTGGACTCTGTTGGCGAGTTGGGCTGGCAGTCTGATTTGAGAGGGCTCTGAGGGCTGCTCATGAGGCTCTTGCGTCCAGTGGAGGAGATTCCCAGTGGATAGTGCTGATGGATCAGGTCTTCCTCTGCCTGAGGAGCGAGCTCTTTGCCGGAGTCTTTCTGGTGTTCGAGGTTTAACACGGGAAACATACGCTTCCTTGTTCCGAGACCAATAGACCTGCTGACCCCCTCGTGGCTTTCCTTCCTTATCTCATTGTCTCTCGCTAACTCCCTGGAAGCGTAGGTGGTGGAGTGAATAATGCTGGAGGAGCTGGTGCCAACTGCCCTGGTGTATTCTGCCCTGATGGTGTTGGCGCTGTCATGCGGAGAACAATGCTTGTGGTGGATACTGCTCTTAGAGAGGTCTGCGAAAGCGTTTTTGGCATCAGTCAGCTTGCAGAGAGGGAAGGGGAATCCTGGCATGGGAAACTGCCCGTAGAGATGATAGTTGCTGGGGGTGCTGACCCCGCTGAAGATGTTAGAGCTGTAGGGCCTCCCATCCCTAAACGGAGCTACACGGCTGTGCAAACTGTCGACGACCTCATGGGGCCGGTATGCATGGACATCCTGAGGTAAAACCAAGGGACTGACCAAAAACTCATCTCTGGGCAGCTTGGCAGCTGGATCACTGTGAAGACAACAACAATGTTAAAAAAACATGGACACAATAATGAAGGATTTATATGATTTGCGGTGGGAATTTTCTACAAACCTGGATTTGATGAATCTGTGGCAGGTGTCCACAACATGATCCATCTGCAAGTAGATGGCTGTGTTCATGATAGCCATGATCAGACTTTCCTTTAGTGTGAGACGGGAGGTGTACATAAACTCCAGCAGGATGGCGAAGCCCTCTGGGTCTACTTTTGGATCCAGACTGATTGCATTAAGGTTGCACTTGTGGGAGTCAGTAAAGATGGTGTAAAACAGCCCACTGTTATCATGACAAAGAAACACAGACAGTACAAAGATCAGTCCTGTCTTTAAACAGCAGCAGAAGAATTGTGTAATTCAACTTAAATGAAACACACACACACCTGCAAGCCATGAGAACGGTCTTGTGTGCACGAAACTGCTGTCTGTTCACCAAAATAGTGACATCTGTGAGAATATCTCTGTTGCGCAGCCGATTCAGGTTGAGCAGAACATCACTTGCATGGCGTGTGAATTGTATGCAGCTGTCTGCTGCGCAAGCCATTTTGTCTAGTTCTGCAAAGAGAAAAAAGAAAGAGGATTATTTCACATAAAAGTGCCTTAACGGCTTCCTGCTGTGCTGCAAATCACCCTTTTATTTAAGGTTGGAGTACAGGTAATCTTTAAGTAAATTAACTGGGCTGAAATTATTTATGAGCCTCAAAAGGTATTTTATCAATGTGGCAGACTAAGCAGCAGGTGCAGCCTCTCACCAGAAGGCGGCGCCATTTATTAGATAAACACGGTCTAGACGTTTACATTTCTACCTTCGTTCACTTTCTCTGGCAGGTCAATGAAACAATACAACAAATAAAGTTACTATTTTTATCTGATTTAAAAAAGCAGGATATTTAAACTGCAGGACACAACAGTATTTATGATATATTTCTGTATTTAACTAAATACATAAAACACGCTCTTTAAATGAATAGAAGATATTTTAAGAATAAACAGTTTTACTGAGCATTCTTTAGATTCCATTGACTTCTCTCGGTTGGATTCATGTTGTGAATATGAGCACGAGCGCTGCACATCTCTGACTTGTGTGTAGTGGAAAAAAGTTGAGTCTGTCTCAGTTTCACTTCAGCATGAAGTGAAGATTAAAATAACGGAGAGTAAGAAGTCTGCGCACTTGACTCCAAACTTCCACTATCATTCAAAACAACACCCACGCGACTCATTTCCACCGCGACACGGTGGATTGTTTAAATGTAATTTAAAAAAAAAAAAGAAGATCCAACACAAGCATCACTTTCTCCCGGTTTGCTTTAACACAAACTGAAGTGGTGAAGCCCAGCAGCGCTTTCTCCGTTAGGATGCATTTCTCTGTTATAATGCATTTCCTGCTCATTTACTTTGAAGGAGTGAGAAGTAATATTTCATTAACTCCATCACAGGGCAGCGTTTCCAGCGTGTGTAACTGGACACGTCCGAGAATAGAGGCAGGGCAGAGAGCAGACTAAATATACTGACATCCTCCGATCAGAGGAAGGCGAATAATGACAACAAGCCATGTAAACAACAAATAATAACGACGTTTACAGGAGATTCAGGCGGATACAGCAGCATCACTTAGGGTCAATCACACACTCGTGTCAGTGGAACCCGCAGATCATCGGTACATGTGATCTGCCTGCTCCGTGTTGTGATCTGGTCCTGAGGAGCAGCTCACATGTGAAGCAGGACTGAGACTCTGCTCAGGGAACCTGTCTGTAGTTAGTTCTCTGATCACACTGGAAACATTAAGTAGATGCAGCGTCCTGTCGCCTCAGCCGCGGAAACTAACACACATATCGACAGTAATATTTCCGCCTCGGTGTTACAGGAACATCAGGGTTTGTTCGGCGCAGTTTTCATTTCTGCGCTCCATGAAATCATATGACGGCCGCTCAGTGGAAACACAGCGGGGCCGCGGCTGCCATGCTGCCGACAAACTTGAGCGTGACAGCCCGGGCACAGAGCCGCGGTGTGGTGACACTTGACCGAACACAGGTGGCTTTAAACCAGAGTTCACAGAGACTGACGCTGCCCACAGTCAAACACGTCCACCCGGCTACAAACGCTCATTCCCCCCCGCATGTGTTACGAGTCTAGCCCGGGCGTCATTACAGCGCTGCTACATGACTCTGTGCGGAGCGGCAGCGGCAGCGGCGGGAGGCGGGTTCTCTTGTCTCCGCGACTCCCGCAGCGCAGCGCCGGGGCGAGCCGGAGGATGCTGCCTGTCACCGCTCCAGAGTTCCAGCCCCGCAACACACACACACACACACACACACAATCACACACAACACACACTGACACTTGACCGAACACTGCACACACGGACAACAGAGCCTATGTCTAACACAGCGGCACACAGCACAGAAACACTTCGCGCCAAATTAGAAGAAAAAGGAATTTAAAAAATCACCTGGTAGCGCTTTCCTAGAAACTTGTTGCATCACCACTTCTAAGAACCCCAGTTCTAAGAATCACAAGAGCTCAATTCTCGGAATTTGAGCCCGGGACCGTACCACTTTCCCGGGGCAGGGGAGAGACCTTTCCCCCCCCCTGTGGTGGAAATAACCACTTTCCAAAGCAGCTATTCAAACAAGAATGGCACGTAGCGATCGCGAAAGCGAATAAAACGTGAATTCAATGTTTAAATGAGTTAAAAATGATAATTATATTGTAAAAATAACGCAGGGAATTGTTTCAGAGTGACACAACCCCCCCTTTGCTTTTGGTTGAGCCCGCCGTCGCAGGGACGTCGAGCGGGCGACGTCAGCGGGCTGGTGTAAGCCCCGCCCCCTGGTTCTCAGAACTAATTGATATTCTATGACTGGAGCTGGAGACGCGTCGGAGCCTCGTCACATTTAACACACGCAGCCACAGCCTCATTAGCGCGGGGCAGCTCGATGTGACTGCCTCCTGCCTCCTCTGTTTCAGGGCTGACTTTTTCTTTTTGTAGCCACATCTCCTGCCTTCATAGATGGAGGGAGAGAAACAGGGAGAGAGGGAGAGAGGGAGAGCTGCGAGTCGCCACCGGGGTTTGTTGACAAAGGAAAGATTTCATAGATTTTTCGTTATAAGCTGCAGTTGAGCGTGATCGCTGCCTCTTGAGTTCAATCGGCGCGCGGGAGAGTCGAGTTTGTTTGTATTCTGCTCACATCCGTGCACGTGTCCAGATGTTGTTGTACACTGCTGTGCGCCAGGCGCTTTGGTCGAGCAGAGATTTGCGCTCGGCAGCGCGTTGACTCAGCGATGACTTGTTGCGTGGAAGCGAGGCATCACCGATGTGAACGCGTGACACCGGCACCTTGTGTTTCACGCGCAACCACCGCGTGAGATGTTTTGCTGTGTTAAAGCGCGATGAGAGCTTCGTCGTGGAATGTGGTGTTTCGGTGTGAGTGCTGTAATTTGATGTGTCAGTGTAACTCCTCAGCAGGGTACATCCTTCACTTTAGTCTGACTCCAGACTCTTGTAACGTGGAAAGCTGGCTCTCATTTGAACAGGTTTCCTCCTTCCGCACAGTTTTTTTTTGTGTGTAATTAACTGTAATAACTGTAATTAGTTGAAAGCAGGGGATGCCAGTGGATTTGTCCATGTTAGTTGATGTGCACACTTTAAACAAACAATGAAAAAGAGACACTCATTGCAATGCAAAATGAAAGATTCCTGGAAAACTAATTGAATGCATTGCTGTTATTTTTCTTTGCTTCCATTTAATCTAAGGCATTTGTACTCCCAGTTGCATCATTTCTCAGAGTTGGGCAAAAATAAACTAAAACTGTTTTTACATCTCAGCCTGTTAGTATTGTCTTGTGAGGCTTTTGCTCGAAATGATGGCACCAGAGAGAAGTTGAACCACGTAGATAGTTTCATCAGAGACCTGGCCTGTATTTACTCATCCTTTACCAGTTCATTCTCGGCTAATGATGCTACAGGTTCCAGGATGAGTTTGACAGTTTGTATAAATTTCATGAGTTGTCGGCACATGTTTAGACTGTGTCTTACTCACCTTGGAAACTTTGTTTGCACTGACTCCAAAGTGTGGATTCTCCTTCTTTTCTCATCCCGTTCACTCCGTGGCACAGGAGGAGCATTTGCTGTGCTGAGAAGGACATAGAAAAAAGAAATTAAATGTTGTAGGCTACAGTAAAAAATTTAGCAGATTAATAAAACACTCCCTTTAAAATATGTCCTTCATCTGTATTAGTTTTTATATTATAAACAAGCACATATTCTCAAAATCCTTCTTGTATTTGATTAATTAGGTATAGATGATGATAATGTGGTGGCAAAGCATCAATCAGATGTTTGGATAATTAAGTTGATATTTACAATGTTGTTAAGATCCATTAGCTCTATTCTGGTCAATATTGATAAATCAGTGACTAATAAAAAGCAAATACCATGTTTGAGCAGACAGACAGACTTGTTTTGTTTATTTTATTATGAAATCCTCGATATCCTCATTAGGACTTATAATACTTTGCTCTTCCTGTACAACTCCAAATTTAGTTTTGTTTTGCTTGTGAAAGGCTAAAAAATAAAAGTGTAAAATTATCAAAGTTTAAGATTTTCATGTTGCCTTTACACTAAAATGAAATTATTTCTCCAGTTTCTTATGAGATATAAGAATATAAATTGTTACCACTCTCATCACACACTAATGATTACCTGTCTTAAGTGGAACATTAAAGTTTTCAGTTATATTTGGCGAAACTTTGCATCCAAATGAATCAGATGCAGCTCCTGCCTTTTCTTTTCTTATTTAACCCTATGTGCAGCAATACACTCCACGATAACGTAAGTGTCATTTCCCTGTGGATTGCCCGAGCATCCGCCCATCTGGATCCGGCATCCCACTAAAAACACTCCAGGTGTTCACAAACCATCGGGGAGACAAGTCTCCAAAATAATTAAGACACACGCTTTTACAGCAATCTCCGATTCAGCACTGCCAAATAAAGACTATCTTGAGTTCCAAACAAAGAGCAGCGTCAACTTTTTTTCAATCCACTTGGGGGATGTTTAAGGCACTCCAGCACCGTTATGCATAATGCACGGCCATAAACCATCCAGGAGTTAAGAGGGAGATGGGTAATTTACCAAGGCCTCATGCTGTGCCCAGCTATAGAAGGATGAGATAATTACAGCAAATCCTTGGCAAACTTTTACTCAACCAATTCCTGGCAAAAAATAAATGACCCACTTACAGAGGACAGAGAGAGAGTGCAGGGTAGCAGATCAATACGGGCCTGTCTAAACTGATGGGGAAACACTGTCACATTATGAACTGTGTATCGGTTAATCCTGCATCTCCATTCAGGCTGTATAATTAAACATTAAGGTCCTGGTCTCTTTGTCTGAATGGCAAGCTGCTGAGAAACAATCACGGCCGAAGCGAGCTGTGGCGGTAATTCAAGACTGCCCGGCCGGTAACAGCTGCACATTAAAAAAGAATCTTGTACATTTTTGACACAGTGTGAAACATCTCTAAGCCGTATCATTGCCTACACTCGGTGCACGATAGGTCATTGAATAGAAATGCCCACTGACAAAAGCCTGAGGCCCGGAGGTTGCCTCACTTTTTTTTTTTCATAAACTGCACACTTTTGTCTCGTTTCACAGCAAATTTCTGCCAACTTCAGTGTTCATTGTCAGCAAAGATGTGAGTGTGGAGTTTTGTTCTGAGAGGCATGATGCAACCGAGCTGTAACACCAAACAGATAATGCTGTTAGCTACAGAGGCCTTTTTAGTTCCTTTCTTTAAAAGAATTTCTTTTTATATTGTTAAGTTTCACTTTTTTAACTCCATGCATCCCAGAAGCATTTTTTTTCTGCCTTTGTCCACAACAAAGTTGCCTTTTTTCAAGCACCATCACGAATGCAGGTCTGAATTACAGCACAGTTATTGTGTGTCAGTAAAAAAAAAAAAAAGATTTCTTCTCCCAATCTCACTGCATGTATTTATTTCCCTTGATCGTCAGTTTGAAGAGATCATTGAAAACATACAATGTGATATGCATCATTTATAATTCCTGCTAAACAATAGGAGGTGTGATAAAGATGCAGTAAAAAATTCAATGATGATACTTCAAAAGATTTTCTGTGTAGGTAATGATGAGCACACTTTACTCAGATGTATGTCTCCTGCTTTTTAAATTAGCAGACAAATAGGCAAGTTGTATTCTGACATGAAATCTCGCAACGATGCTGCCAGGTGTCTCTGCATTTACACACACACACACACACACACACACACACACACACACACACACAGAGTTAAAAGTCAGCTTTAATCACACTTGACAAGGTTAAACATATGAAGATTAACAGTGGTATCAAATAATACAGATAAAAAGGTAAAATTATTTGATTATATATAAAATCCTGTGTAAGTGCAGAGACTCGTGGCAGCATGTTGCATGATTTTCATCATTTTTATAGTATAGGTTATTCACAGGGCTTTGTTGTGTTGTTGTTCCTGATCTTTACTGGTCTATTTAAAATGCATTTTAGACTAAACATCTGTTTTTATTCTGATTTATCAATTATTTCGAAAAGGCAAAACACAACCTACACATCACAAGCAATGTTTTAGTAAGTTTCCCTGCAGTGCGCCTGTGTGGATAACCTTGAGTTCACCAGCTTGCTTGTGCAAGCTACATGCTAAGGTTGTAGTCAGAGCAGACGCGTGTTAGTGGACCAGAATTCCAATTTAGCCAAATCAAAGCATGTAGATTCAAGACTTTCCACGCAGCCTGCAGAGTCCAAGATGATGGAATTTTCCACGCATACCAGAAACAGTCCCTTGCCAGCATGCTATCAGCCGGATGACGGGTCAGTTACTTCCACAAAACATTAGTGCAGTCCAAGTGCATGGTAAAAGCTAACATCCCTACAAGTCATTACAATCTCAGTGTGATATTGTGTCGTCTGTCACAGATGCAGGACTCCCAAAGAGCACAAGAGGAGGTGTTGTTCAAACTGTGACGACTTCTGCACAGATTGTTTTTGAAAGCCCTGTTATGTGTCACTTTCAGATTCAGTTTAGCATATTTACAGAGGTATTGACCACCTGACATATAGCATTTAGTACAGGGAATCAAACTATGTACAAGTGGGACTTATCAATTTCCACCACTCTCAATAATGATCCAATAAGAATCAACATCTGGTAATGTGTTAGAAATATTATGAGGCTCCCTCCTGCTTCCTATCACCGAATTAGTTTTCTTTGATTTGATAGACATGCACACTCCTGCTTACAAATGTGCCTATGCTGTATAGCAGTGATCCCCAATAACAGGGATTTGTGCCCCAGGGGTGCTAACTGTTGTTTAAAAGCTAGCAGAGAAAAATAATTACTTCATGAATGGTTTCAATAGTTTGCTAAAGGAAGAAAAACAATTGAAATAATGAGCAAAAAGTTACTGATCAACAGGAGAAATAGTTATCATACAAACTAAGTGTGTAAAAAGTTCAAAGTA